AGATTTCCATCGCAGGATGAAATTCACGTTCTAGATACCGGGGTCAGTATGCTGCCGTTGATTCTGCTGTTGGTCGGCTGCCTGCTGGCCTTCGGTGCGACCGTGATCTCCGTGATGCTGATGATGTATCGACGACGCGGCACCACGTCACCCGTACACATCGAGCCCTATATGAAGCAGCCGATAATCACACCGCCGGACTCGAGGAACAATTCGATGCTAGACGTGACCCACGGCGACCACACGTACTTCGTCGAGTATACGTTGAAGCAGGTCACCGATTATGCGCTCAATAATCAACCGGATATCATACAGTCACCGCAAGGTATCGCCAAGATAAAGATAAAAGATATTATTTCCACTTGCGATCTGATCTGGTCCGATCGACCTAGTGTTGCTGAATTTAGTACAATTATAAATTATTAATACAAAATAGTACTAGATTGAGTATATTCTTAATTATATTAACACTCTCGTATGTACATTGCAGAAAAGACAGTAAGCAAAAGAGAGATAAATAAAAATTTTTGGTAGGCTTTTGACTCTGATACATTTTTGCTATTTAATTGTACAATTTCTTTTTAGATTCCGGCAATACTGGATTGATCTAATATTTAAGCTATCTAATATTTGATCTAATATTTCAGATTAGGCAAAAAAAGTCGCGTGAAGAATAAATCGTTTTAAGGATTCATGGAATAATAGAGACTCAAATGAACAATAATGAAGAGTTTTGATTTCTATCGAACTGTCATTTTCTGCAAGTTGATCAAGTTACGTGCTGTTTTGAACTGGCAAATCAATTCCTATCAAATATCGAGCTTTTATTTGAATAACAGTAACAAGAGATATTTTTTTCAGAAAGTATTTATTAAAAATAAAATTGATAATTTAAAGAGCACTCTTGCCCGTAACTAAATGTACATTTAACAAAAATCCTTCTTTTTTAACGTCATCTGTCTGACCTTTACCTTCAGTATTTTATTTAAATTGTTCGAGAGCTGTTAATGTAAAGTGGAATAATGTAAATGTTTCAGACCAAGAGAAGATCAAACGCGAGCCGCAGCTGTTTTTGCCAGTGAGACCAGACACGTTATTCGCGCCCTATGACATTCACAAACAGGGACTGCAAACGAACAGATGCAGCGTAAGTTATATCAGAAATTATAAAGTGATCTTTTTGAAAAAAGGAAATGGTTGAAACAATGTAAATGATGCACCGTTGCATTGCAATCTGTAAATTAATCCGGTATCAATTTGTGATTCTGTTGTGCCATATCCGAGAAAAAGGTTTGCTTCAATTCTTGCATTCTGATGGATAATTGCGAAGAACGAATGTTACGTGTCTTAATCCTCAACGAATCGTCCCGTATAATGATTTCTAATTATTTCAATAGGTGGATTAACGTGAGATGTGTCTTTGATTCTTTTCTCCTTCGATTCTTTACAGCGATAGGAAGTTTCAATAGCGCGCGAGATTTCGAACTCCGATTTGGAAGATTAGAAATTTAATCTGCCGTAGATTGAATTTCTATCGATCGTTTATAAATTAAGCCGGCTATCTAACCAATCTCAGTTTAGCTGTCGCGCGCGACCGGTATATAACCGTTATGTCTATGAATAATATCGATTCCTTCCGTGCGGTGTGAATATCCGAGAAAGCCGCTACTATTTTCGATTCCCAATTCTATTTCTCCGCGCGCGACGCTGAGTATTAATTAGATTTAGACCCGATATCTCCTCTTGACTTGGCAGCTGAACCCGTTCTCCGCAAAGTCCTGGGAGCCCATCAGTTTCAAAGCCGATCGCAACCTGATGAAGGAGATCATCATCGCCAATTCCATACCGGGACCGGAGAGCTGCGTGTAAACTTGATCGAGGAAGTGAATTGGGAAACGTAAACATACACGCACACATACTTATACTCTACGCGATACACGCACACACACAAGCACATACACAAACAGCATATCATCAGGGCGATCGATTTCGTAAGCCTTGAAAACTGTATCGCGTATCGTCGCTCGATGCCATGACAGATATACGCGCGGATATATCAAAGACAAAATCAACGAATCTCGTGTCTCGCTTGTTAACGCGCGCCAATGTGACATATCACGATGACGATATCGTAGCAGACATATCAGCATATCGTAGCATATCGTGGCGCGCCACGATCTCTCCTGAGATCATCAAGAATCTTTAGGATCATCCTCCCGCCGATCCAGCACGAGACCGGAGCGAGGAATCGCGGAGTCGTCGCGAGACGATTTAGTCGCATAATTTAACCAAACGCTACACGTGGTGTACTATTCCAAGTTTAATATATTTTGTGTCAAGTCTTAAACTGTCTCGTTATTTCTTAATGTCGTTATTACGACTGATATACCTCCTAGCTTTTTTCTCTGATTTCTCTTTTTATTTCTCGTTGAACTATTTTTAAACGTCCGAAAGAAATTTTTTCTAATTCTGTATGCGTATTATTTGCGTATTTTTTAGACTATTTTAGCCTGACATCTCATTCATCTTCTTTATTTTATTAATGATGTGTATATTTTTAATAAATAAATGATATATTATCAATTAAAAAAATTATCCCATTTTCAATCCAAGTGGCTCTTGGTGGAATTGCTATGACGTCCATCCCAAAGAAATCGGGAGTTCTAAATTCAAATCAAATACTGACTAAGATAATATGTTTCGTGATAATTTGATAAGTTCTTGATGATATTTTTTATAATTAATATTATTATTAAATTGACGATTAATCTAATTTAAGATATTAATATTTCAGCTTCAGTTTGCAATTGCGATTTCAAATTTTTAGTAAACTAAATCATAAAGCACTCTAAAATTTACTGCGATGGGAAATAAGATTATTCCTCTTAATTGATTTACCTTCATCGATCTAATTTTTATTTATAATAGATGTATTATTTAATTATTACATATATTTTCTAGTATACGCTTTAAATATATTTCGTACACTTTACTCTTGTTTAAATTAACTTCTTATTATAATAACCGGAAAATAAAATTAGAAACTAGAAAATAGAATCTCTGAATTAATAATATTATAACATTTTATACTATAATGCTATGATATCAAATTCTATTTTTTTCCTAATTATCACAGATTAGGCGATCTCTTTTGAAAAGAAATATAAAATCCTTCAGTATAAGATATTGTTTCTTAAAATATGAATTTATTTCTAATATATCATGTAAAAGGATAAAAATTTTCATATAATAATATAATAATAATATATAATAATATATTATAGTTCAGCTAATTTATCATCTTTTCTCTAAGAAAAGGAAGGGCCGTGAGGATATA